GGACTAGAAACCAAGTAATGCAGCAGACAAAGACACTCTAACCTTCATTTGCCCTCAACTTAGCTATGATTTCCAAATGTAAGTCTTAGTAAGAACCAGGCAGTTTTTGATGACAAGTCAGATTCCTTTACTTATTAAAAATACCTGAAAAACTGCAGCAGTTAAAAACAAAAAAAAAAGTTTTAATTTTTCTGGAAAACCACTGGCAAGACAAACTTTTGCTTTGTATCAAATATTTAAGCAGACTGTACTTGATAAACTCTAATCTCCTTATGCGTTATTGTTGTCAATAGAAATTAATATAGATGGTGAAACCAGAGAGTGATTCAACCTGCCAAAAGGCAACCAGAGATTACAGAAAAAATTGTCTTTCCTGATTGTTTATTTAGAGGGAACATGTAAAGAGACTGAGAAATCAACTCTTCTACTTCCCTGTCTCTGCTTGAAATACTTTGATTGGTACATCCTACAATTGCATCGCCTTTTTCACAGGTCTGTTGCATTGGCTGTTCAGAATCATTCTGTGATTGATTGATACATCCAGGTGTGTCCCCCCATCTGCCAGTTCAAGCTAATGAAACCTGAGCTTCTGTTAGAAATTCTCATTCTTTGGTTCAGTGGAAGTTGGGGCACCTAATGCACCTAAATACTGTTTGAATCTGGTCCTGTTCAAGTGCATGACTGTGTGTGTACTGTACTATGTTATTTCATCTTTAATCCATTCTCTGACATAAGGGTGAATTGTGTCCAAGCAGTTTGAGCCACAATGTGTATATTTACATATATCACCTGTAAATATTTGGCTACAAAATATTAGTTTAAAAGAACAAAAAACCTGTTCTCATGCCTTTTCTTTAGTAAAACTGTGTATCTTAAATCATAAGTAAAATTGTGCATCTTAAGTCTTGTTTAGATGATACTTACTGTTAGTGTTCCAGTTTTTTTTAAGTAATTGTGAAGTTGACCATTGCAGTTCCAGCTAGTTCTCTTATCTTAATCTGGAATAGTTTTATCAACTCTTTGTTTCACCTTTTACTTTCAGAATTACCAAGCCAGTGTTGATGATCTCAGAAAAGTACTTTGCATAGATCCTAATGTTGCTGAAGCAAAGAAAGAACTAGAGGAAATAACCCAATTTCTTAACCCTAACCCTAATGTCACAGCCAGCAGCCAACAAAAGCAAAGAAAGAAAATCAAAATTCATGAGGTATTTCCATTTTTGTGAAAAGTAATCAGTAGGGGAGTCACACAGTAAATAAAATTAAAACTTAGATCTTGTTTTGTAATATTGATAGCTTTTTTAACTACATGTATTAATTTGTTTATTGTTTTAAAGGATACCAGTGTACTGAAATATTATTAAATGCGGTGTTTGATCCAATGAGGTCTATAGTGCTTTGGAAAACATCCATAACTCCAGTAGAAGGAAACTATTTATCATTCTTGGACAAAACAGTTTACGGTGGAGGTAGCTGAGGACATTTACTGTTGAGTTTTCAGAATATGTCTCTCATCTGATCTGGTAGGGCAACAAATGTTGCTTATATAGAACCAACAGAGCCTATGCTATCCTGTTGCTGTGGCCAAGCCAGCAGAGGTATGCTGTCCAACAGGACCTCTGACTCTCCTTTCAGTGAAACTTAGCAATTTGATCAGAGAACAGAAGAAGCCCAAATATACATAAAGCTCTAGAGCATATGTGTGCAAATCTACAAAACGGTCAGAGAGTGATATTGTGCCTTAAGTTTTGATGTTGTAAAACAAGCAAGCAATGTAAGTGGGTGAAAACATCAGTTATGCTGAGTTTCTTGGCATCCACACAGGTCCTGTGTTCAATACTGAATCACTCAAAGAAGGGATTTCTCTGTAATTAGATGCTTAGGGTTGGTAACTGTCAGTTCACGGATCTCTGTCTGTCTAGTTTTATTACAAGAAATATGGCTACTGATCAATACAGTCCCATTAAGTGACATTAACATTTGGACCTGGAACTTCAAAAATGTATGAATTTTGTTAAAACTGGATCTGTAAATGGTAACATAATGGATGGATAATTCAGTCATGCAGAAATTCAAAGCCAAAGAGATGTTTAGTACTTTATATAACTGGCCATGAGTGAGAAGCTGTTTTTTTTTTATTTTACCAAGATGTAACACATCTAAGATCCAGAAACCTCCCTTAACAGTAACAACAATTGGGGACTACTACTAGATTATAGAAAAAGAGAAAATAATAGCAGGGTAAGACCAGTGATGTAACTTCACATTATTGGAGTGCCTTGTATACTTATCTGAGCTAGTTTCTCAGCAGAGCTAATTAGCCTAATGAGGCTAGACTGCTTCTGATACCCATACTAATTAGTTCAGAACTAGCTCTGGCAATGTCTACATTCACTGCTACATGTAGATGTTTTAAGGTCCCTTGAAACTTTTTCAAAAAGGGTGATATTCAGTGTCAGGAGACTGACTGACTGTTGAGTGTTTATTAACTTAGTTCCGGGACTCTTTGTATTTTAAAGTAGAAGCTGGTCTTTTAGCAGGTACTTACTAGGGATATGTCTACCGTGTAGCCACTGCATCACAAATCTCAGGACAGGCAGCAAAACCCACCAGAGAATCTGAGTAAATACTCAGGCAGTTGCACTGTGCTGAGGTGCTTGCTGCCACAGCTAATATGCTGCCAGTACTAAAGTTAACTTTGGGTACATCTACCTCACACTGCAGTCACAGCAGTGAATCCAGCACAGTCCTACCCTGTTGGTATATGGGTGCAGACACACAAAATAGTTTAACTGTTCCAGAATATCACCCATTAGGTACCGGTTCAAAGTTGTGTGAAATGTTGTGGTTCCAATACCTGGGTGAGCATCAGAGTGAGTGTCCAGCTCAGCAGTCATGACAGTGGGCAAGTGGGGAAGGATGCTTTCACCTGTGCTTTGGGGAGACATCCAGTAAGTGGGTGACCTGTGGCTGGGGATGTTTTTACTTTTCTTCTTCCCACTGTCTCCTAAACATCAGTTCAAGAAGCTTCAGTAAGCTGCAAATGACTGAAGTCTGCAATGTGCTTATCTGACTGAGTGGCAGGTTTGCCAACCCAAGAATTTCTTGTTTTTACTGACAGTCTGCAAACCTTTTCCTGAAAGTCAGACTTTTTTTACTGACATATGTTTTACCTAATGCAAATGCAACCTTCTGCCTTAAGTGGCAGTGACATGGCAGGATTTAAATGTGGGGTTTAACACCCACCAGAGTAAAAACAAGTTTGCTGCTTGACTGCAGCAGTTGTTTTATACCATGCTTCTCCCATGCCAGGGGTTCTCTACTCACCCCCAAATGGACCCAAGGCAGTGCTGCCCCTACCCCAACTCATTCCACAGCCTTACCTCCACTAGTCCCGCACCTTGTGCAAGCATGGACCCACGTCTTCCGCTCCCAGCCTGTAGCTCTGTCCCAGCTGCATTGTCCTCCTCCCTGTACGCTTGAGGCAAGCAGCTGTTAAACCCAAGGTACAGCCAAAGGGACAGAGTGGCAGCACATGTCTGGGCAGGGGGGAGAGGGCTACACAAACCCCAGTGAACCACAAAGCCCTGACAAGAGCTCCCTGCAGGGTTCTGAGCTCCCATTCAGACACTGCTTGGTGCTGCCGTGCTCCTTCTATCCATCAAGCTCATCATTATTTAGTTTTTATAGACAGCTCCATTTTTCACAGACCTTATGGACAAGCATTTTTGCCTTATTTTTTTTATGGGCTGCCCGTAAGTTTGTAGTCAGTTGGCAACCCTGCCATTGGGGAAAATTCTTGGAGTTGTATCTGCATTTGAAGTGTGTTTTATGGTTCTTAGGATCTGATGGGCTGTGCTTGAGTAATTGGTGAGAACACAGCTGGTGGTTAGACAGACAACATTGATTGAACAAGCAGTGCAAGTGAGCTCGTTGATAAAAGTGCCAACAAAAGGGAAAAAAGGGGGAGAGTACAGTTCTGCCACCGGAGGGGCAGTTGCAGCAGTATGTATGAGGGGTTGGGGGCAGGGAGGAGCAGTGCACTGTCGGATGCCTAAAGGACTGAGCAGACGTGTCACTGAATACTTGATATCTACGCTAATACTGAACTGTTTCATGGTGAACTGGTTCAAAATAGTACTTGATTTTTCACATACACTTTTGAACTGTTCCAGTTTAACAAGCTTGTATGTCTGTCTGCTTCAGTTATAAACTGCATTTAAACTGTTCTAAACTGTCCATGTCCTGTTATGTCATTAGTTATATGGTCAATTTTCTCCTAAAACCTTTCAGATCTCACCTTAGAAAAGGGAGGACAGGTGTAAGATGCATGTTGACACAGAGACAGCCTTTTAAGACACTTGACTATTAGGATATTACTTCTTTAGGGACCTGGGAGAAAGGAGGAGGACGACCATCATACTCTGAAAATCCTCCCTCTAGAAGAGGAAGTGATAACCACTAGTTTAGTGGTATCTCTGCTTTATGTACTCTCATCTGGTTTATGAAACTTGAGGTATTATATACATCAACATTTAAATGGTTTGTTGTTGTTTCCTTTTAAAGGTGACTGAGAGCAACAAACAGGAGAGCCAGGTCAGTACTTCAGAGGATGCTATGATTAATCACATACCTGTTGAAGGAGGAGCAGAAAAGTGTGCACCATTGAAAAGGTCTGAAAAACTGCTCATTTCAGAACCATCTACTGCCTATGACTTCGGTCAGAGCATAAATGCTGTGAATGCCCAGAAGGATAAAGCAGCCTGTGCAGATCTTCTAATGATCATCAACCCCCCAAAATTGCCAATGCTGCTAAGTAACAAGCTAGATGGGGATACGTTTCTGATCTTTATCCAGGCACTGGAATGCTATATACTTGGGAAAGATCCTGGTCTTGTCTATCAGCACCTTTTCTATCTGAGTAAAGCAGAAAGGTTTAAGGTAAGAGCATATCTTTTGTTTAATTTCCCTTTGTAAAAAAAAAAGGGGACAAAACTCAAAATTTGAAAAAACTTAGTGGAACAGAAAGTATGTTGATTTCAGCATTTAACAGAAAACCACTTACCTGCACTGATTGTACCCATACTGGTTTCTTTTTTCAGGTGGTGCTGACCCTTCTTAGCAAAAATGAAAAAGAACAAGTTCGGCTTCTGTTTGAATTGCTTTCAGAAAAGCATAATCATCAGTTTTCATCAGAAGACCTGGAGAGCCTTAAAAGGGTTTATGAACTTTAAACAGAACTTGATTTTACAATTTTTTCTTGCTCCATACGGCTGAGGGTATGAATGGAGGTATGAACTGCAGATTTGCATGGGAAGAACTTGGTCTGTTATCTGAATTGTTCAGCTGCTGTATTTTTTACAGTATGTGCACATCTAATGTTTGCTGCTCTTTTGTCTTGTAGTTATATACATTTTAACCCCAGTTGAGTTCTAATGCATGTCTGTATTTAATAACATAGGTGATATTTGAGGATATGTTGATTTAATAAGAATGTATCAATTAAATGTATAAAAATATCTTAAGTCCTACAATAACTATCAAGAGTTTTAGCTATTCATTTATTATAAGGTAGATCATATTTTCTTGGGTAAAGGCAAGTCCTCAAGATAAATGGGTTATTAGGGATAATGTTGCTGAAATAATTTTACAGAAGGTGTTAACTTTTTTCCCCCTGATTTGTAAAGTAACTACTGTATTACATATTTGTTCTCATGGAATGTACAAAAACAGTTAAATATTTTTTGTGCAATACAGTTTAAAAGCAAACATGAATAAAAATAGATTAGTTTGTTATGGAACTCTTCAAAGCAATTTAGCTATTAAATAAATTGTTATGTTTTTTAAATGGAAAATGCATAATTAAGAGTTTATTAATAGCATAATTATTTTAAGCAATATTTCAGGGTGTTTGCACTGTTTTAGGAAGTGGCACTTGGCAGTGACCAAATTCTCACTGACCCCTTCAGTGGTTTGCCCACATGTAGTTCATTTTTGTTCAGTTTATCCTTAGAATGAGGGGCTGCATTTAGGAGCACATATGTTTGATTCTTCTGAGACTTAAATGGTCTTTTAAAAGGTTGGTATATTAATAATCTGTTTTTAGTCGTGCTTGTGAAAACAAAACAAAATAGTTTCTTAAACCCATAGCAAGTTTTGCTTTACTTTGCACAGAACTGTACACATTTTCAGATTTGTAGGTAAAGAAACTGCTTTTTTTCCAAAATAATGTAGTTTTTCTTCTAATACAGTTTCTTTTTGAATTTGACCACATTCCTTTCTTTGTTATATTACATATATACGTTATATTTGTCTTGAGCACATATTAATAGAAAATCAATGTATTTCTCTTCAGGGTATAATCTATGGATTCTCACTTCTGGTTCAAAATTATTCAGACTTTAATTTAAACATAGCTAATAAGATTTGTTTTGTGACGAAGCTATCAAGAGTATGTCACTATCAGGAGTACTTAAAAGAAAGATAAATCAAGTTGCATAATTAACTTTTATCTAGGGAGTTTGTCGTATGGTCAAACGACTGGTCCATCTGCAGATATATATCTGTTTGCTTGCAGTCAGTGACACTGCACATCTGTCTAACCTGTTATTAAGTCTTCAAGGTCATTTACTTTTTATGATGATGATGCCAATTTCTGTTTCTTCATCGTTTAAACATTTATGAAGTGCTGATCAAATACCATATCTATGCTTAATGGAACTGAGAAGTATTTTTACCTAATTCACACTTCTGAAATGTGGCTAATTAAAGAAAACTGAAGGGAAGTGGGGACAACGAAGACTGGGTTTTCATTAAATGAGATGTTTTCTAGTTCTCTGATACAAAGATAACCCTGACGTTTACACAATGTTGGAATACCATGTGTTCCAACACATTTTTACGGCATATTTGTTCTGCGTTATGCTAAGGGGCCAAATGACTGAACACTTTAAATGGAGACATGTAATTATTGGTAGTAAGTGGAAGGCTACATGAAGGTTTTGTTATGGTCATCCTGGCAAGTTACTTGCCATTCTTATTTTCATTGTCTGAGTAAGTCATTGTTGCTTATGAAATCCTTCCAAAGCTTTTCCTGTGGTTTTCTTCTTTCAGTATGAGCAGTGAGCAGAAATTTTGTCTTGCACCAAACCACTAAACATGGAACCGTTGTATGGAACACAGGGGTTTTACGGTGCCTTTATCAACAAATGATTTCTCAGGATAAGTCACTTGCCCAAGTAGATTCTGTGTTGGACTCAAGTCTGGAAGGAAGATCATTTTGTTGCTTTTGTTGATATTTATTTCTTTATATGCATGGCGCACAGATTTTGCTCCGTACTCTTTCAAGTCTCTCCTAGAGAAGAAGGCCTATTGATTATCTTCACTATATCTGAAGGAACACTGTCAAGCTGCAACTTACGTATATGAAATAAAACCTTTTCCTTTCCTGCCTCATTTGATTTTAAAAATCTTTGCAATTTTAATAATGTAGTTGGCAACAAGTGTGCTGGGGTGGGAAGGGGAAAAGAATTTTGCATCATCCTTGAGACTATTTCCATTTATTGCAGTACCAGTGTCACACTCAAGCACTATTAGTTCTAGGGGCATAAATACTGCCATGAAAGGATGGCGTAAGTTATCAAATCTCTATTATTTTTAAACTTTATGGAAGGCATTTGGGTTTACACACAATCTGTATTTAGCTGCCTGCCATTATCTTTTCAGCCAGCAAAGTGTTTAGTTTTCAGCTTCATTTTTTTTTAATCACTTGGGCTGAACATAAGCATATTTTTAAAGCTGCTGAGGTAGGGCAGAAAGGATCCACTCAAGGATACTGTGCCCTGTACAAAGAGAGAGAGACAGTTCCAGCCCCATTGGGTTTACAGTACAAAAGCCCCCAAAATAAGTTGAGGATAAGGTTATGATATACAAATAAATGATCTTCCTGGTGCTTTGCCTAGTTTTATTAGCCAGACATGTTGAGGCTGAGGAGGGACTGCCAGGAATGTGGAAACAAGAAGAAAAGAAAAGGGAAAATGGAGACTTCCATATTATTACTAGTCCAGGCACAGACAGACATCACAGCTGAGATAAGTCTGAGCCCCTGTTGCATGTTCAACTAATGGTGCAATGGGATCTGTTTCTTGCTCCCAACAATCATGCCTCCTGCCATGCCACAAATGCATGGCAAGACGTGAAATTTGTGGATTGGGGATCAGATCCCAGCCACACTATTACTGCTTGTCAGTGCAGAAGGATCATGACCTTGGACTCCCCCTGCACTGGCAACTAGAAATCTGGGTGCCTGGTGAACTGGTGCTGATTGAGAGTCCCAGCCTCCAGACCACACTGGGGAGCCCCACAATGCAGCTGGCAACAGGACAGGGACCCTACCACACATTCAAATTAAGGCATGATGGAAACCAGTCACAAAATTATTACAGATTTTATACAGCTAATGTGTGTATCTTATGTCCCGTTTTATTGCACCTTTAAGTGTGTGTGTGTGTGTGTGTGTGTGTGTGTGTGTGTGTGTGTGTGTGTGTGTGTGTGTGTGTGTGTGTGTGGCTGGGTTACTATTTAAAACCTGATTAACTGGTTAATCGCGTCTTAGTGTAATGTCTGCTAGGGGCCTTGGGGATAGATTCAATAAAGGGCTTAGGGCTGCAGTGCCTTACTTGAGGCATCTGGCCCTCATACTGAAATCCAGAAGCTGGTAGTAGACCTCTTTGATACCTCGGCAGTACAAAGCAGAATTAGAGCATGAGTAGCAGCAGCTCCATGACTTCTACCTGCAGTGTGGGGCTTCCTCTGCTGTGGCAAAGACTCCAAGGGGGGGTGGGGGGTGGAATCTGGCATTCCCCCTCATAGGCAGCCCCCAGGGCAGATGTCCCTGTGCCCTGCCCTACTTAAGCTACTGGGTGAGGTGACAAAAGCAAGGCAAGTGTCAGCAGGTATTAACTCACCTCAGGCTCCACAGCTGAAGGACAGTGAGTGGCCTACGATAAGACCCTATGATACTTCATTAATGACTATGACTTGCGGGGGTTGTTTCCAGCTCGATCTACAGGCTGCATTTTCCTGTTACTAGTGTTCCCAGTACCAAAGCCACTTAGTGCCCAGCAGTGGAGGCTGTTCACAACAAAGTTTAAACATACAAAACCAACTACACAGCAGCTTTGAGACCTGCGAACAGTAGCAGTAGAACATCTCGGTCCCAACTCCTACTGTGGACAAAGGGCTTGTCAGTGTGTCACTCCTGTTCTCTGTTCCTGTTCTGATTCCCTTTGGTGGTCCTCTGAGCCTTGGCAGTTTCTTTCTTCCTAGTCCCTCACTGTCAGTTCCTTGTTCTCTTTCTGTCTGTTCTTCACTGTTGCACTCAGCCAAGCTTGTCACTTTGTGTTAATGCTAAATGCCCTGTGGGAAACAGCTCCATCTTCAGTAAATAATAATAGCAGGCACTCAATGCAGTCCTTCTCCTCTCATGTGGGAATGGGGTAGCGGTAGAATCCACCTGTGTACTATAGCAGTGGATATGGTTCTATTTGTTTGCCATGTAACTACAAAACCAAATGCATATTTGAAATGATTCCAGCCATATGATATGAAATATGTTTAAAGATAATAAAATCATGGACAAGTAGGGAAGATCTCAGGAAGACACTGAGTCCAAGTCCCCTGCTCAAGGCAGGTTCATTCCTGTCCAGCCATCCTATTCAAATGTTGGTCTAATTATTAGACTCTAACCTATTTGTAAAAGTTCTGGAACCAACCCTCTTGCTCAACTGCAAGGTATCATGTCCTTTAACTTACCATAGGTATAGCAGGGGTTGAGGGCACTGTCTCCAAAGAAAAGGGCAAGGGAATCCAAGTCTTCCTTCTTTGTGTATGAGCAAACCAGGTAAGGGCCAGCTGCACTCACTGAGAGCCTGTTGTAAATGACCTGCAGTGCTGGCTTCCCAAGCAGCAGAGAGTAGGTATCCACTTCACACTGTATTACAAATAACTTGAGCTTTTTGAGAACATCAGCAGGGTTCAAGAGCTGCAACTTAGTAATTTAGAGATGTAGCCAGTTTGACCCTCTACCACTCACTGGTTGTGCCCCATGGGACTTGTTACATGCCCAGCCTCAATCATTCTTGCTTGTTATGTTCTGCTGTGGGTGACATCAAGCCTTTGAGAAGCAACTAGTCCCATAAATTTCAGAGTTCACGGCATTTTCAAATGTTAACAGGGTTAAGTGAAATATTTGTACGCCTAGAAGTGAAATGACTGATCAGCCACAGGTTATTACATGTTGATGTGAACAGATGGAGACCTGACATGACTCTGTTTTTTAACTGTTATAACAAGTCATGTGAAGATGTTTTTGTAGCAAATGGTGGGGTAAAAGTGGCTGGGACTTTGGAGTCTTGTAAGTGTGGCCTTGCATGTACTCTTTGCAAATTGAGACAAGGGGGATTGAAGTTGAACAAGCAGTGGAAGTCCAGGGGGGATGAGGTAGCATATGCTTAGTGGAAAGATGACCCTCACAGCTCTGTGGAGCAGTGAAGGCCATCTCTTGGCAGGCTGGAACTCCACTGGCTGAAAAGTGAAGTTCAAGCCTTAAATGTCCTAGTGAAGTGAGTGAGGCTGGGCTCAGCCTGCTCATACTTCTTCCCTATGTGTGGGGCAAGGAGATAATGGCCAAACTGTTCCTGCCCCATGTGCAGTTTCTTCAGTTGCGAAGACAGTACTCTGCTTCCTTTGCTCTCAACCCCGTGCGTACACACAGCTCAGGATAGTTTCTAGGCCAA